TGTGAACATTCTAAACTAACACGAGTCTCATTAAGTGTCCAGTTTAAGCGTATTACACAGAAACATACCAAGGGAACATGAATCAAATATGCACTTTTATTCAATTACAATAAACTCATAAAGTACATCATTTTGATTGAAGCTAAGGGCATACAAAACTGTCTAACACTTACCACATCAGCTCTGCTCACCAACTCGCCGCCAGTTTCACCATTCCTTATCCCTTATCCCTTATCCCCTATCCCTTATCCTTATCTTATCTTATCTTCTTAAGTAAGAGTTGTGCTACTATTAGGAGTAGGTAATTAGGAGTTTGAGTTTAAGTTGGATTACCCTAGCCTAGCCGAATCTAACAAGGAATTTCCTTCTGTAATATCCTATTTAAGTAGCCACGAATTGAAATAGAGGCATTCAGTTTTCTAGTCAAGAAAAGAGTGAGGAGAGTTCGGGTGGTCTCTTGGACAAATCACCCATTCGGTTTCCACAATAGGTTCTGCACGTAGGGAAGGCGCAAGGGAAAGCAGGGCTTTCTCCCCATGGACCGACCCGTGACAAGATCCTACGCGCGGACCTATAACAGAGAAATTAATGAAGATGAAAGTAGAGATACGGTCTTCCAATATAGCTCTAAGGAAATCTCTAGGACCTTATGGTTTTCCAAATCTTTTCCAAGTTGATAAGGATATTATGGATGATATTCCTCATTTCTTCAAATTGGTTGTTATGCTTAATGAGGCAAATCAAACTTAAATTGTTCTAATCCCCAAAGTGATGAATCTGAAAGAGTATAGACTTATTAGCCTATAAATATATATATATATATATATATATATATATATTACTTCAATTATCAAAAAAAATATTAAATATAAAATAATTGTCATATTTTAACACATAGGTTAAAAGGGGTTCAAAGAAAAATGACAGGGCTAAACCAAATTGCTTTTTTCCTTGAAGGCTTGTATTAAATAACTTCTTAGTAGCTCATGAAATCTTGCACTACATGAGAAAGTCAAAGAATAGGAAGGGAACTATAGCTATTAAGTTGGACATGATTAAAGCTTATAACTAAGTAAAATCGACTTTTCTAGAGAAAGCTATGGTTAAATTAGGGTTTGTACCTAGATGGATAGGTTGGATCAATCATTGTATCTTAATTAGTGTTGCATGGACTCAAATACAGAAGCCGGAAGTTGACACATGTCCAGGAGTCAGAATTTGACTCAAATACCACCATTGCAAGTTTGCAACCCTCATCTCCACTGCCTCCACTAAGCCCCACACAATGACTTGTTTTATCTCCTTGTTCACCTCAACACTCTCTACCACATTTCTCATCTGCACCTTCTCCAACACAGCTAGCCCATTGACCACCACTAGAAATGAAAGTCAGATACCTGACTTGAAGAATTTACAATTTTACACTGCATAAAGCCGACCCCAGGCCCATGGAACCCCATAAATTGTCTTTTGACTCGGAGATTCGGCAGAGTCAAATCCAAGTTTTCCATGAATACTGAAAATCAATTGCACAACAATCGGTGAAGAGGATAGTTCTTGAAACAAGTCAACTTCTTGAAGCCTACACTCATCTCCTTTTAAATGATTATTTTTCCTCTTTTTTCTTTTTTTCTTTTTTTTCTGGTAATTTTCATATATCTACTAAAAGAAGCGGAAAGAAAACATAATGTGCTACAATTAAATAAAAGGAAGCTGAGAGGGATTACCCATTGGCAACATTTTCTTGGTTCCATCCTGACAAATCTGCAGCTGCTCGGAGGGCTCTCTCCCACATATGTACCTTCGTTACCTCTGATTTGAATCGCTTTTTAAGTTGGGAAAATTCTTTTCCAAAGCTCCCGGTTTGTTTCCGGACATCCGATGGATCAACCTTATAGAAAATTGGGAGAACTATCCATTTTAGCTCTTGGAGATCCGATGGATCTCCCACATCTGTACCTTCGCACTCCATGATTTTGACAAGTTCATCGAGGCACCATCTGGACGAAGCGTAGCTCTCGGAGAAAACGATGATACAAATTCTTGATTCCTCGATTGCTTTTAATAATGCTGAAGAGATTTCTCGTCCTCTCTGGAGCTCCTCGTCGTCTCGAAACGTGTAAATCCCTCTAATAGACAAGGCTGTGTAGAGGTGATCGGTGAAGTTCCTCCGGGTTTCTTCGCCTCTGAAACTTAAGAAGACGTCGTACTTCCAAGGATGAGTTGAGGAAACCGGTGGAAATGCTTCTGGGCTGTCGATCGCCATGGAAACCAAAAGTTCCAGCTGTCTGGTCTCTGGGTTTGTCGGAGACTCGGAGATAGATCAAGTGTAAAAAGTAAAGGCTGTGGGGGTTGGTCAATGATTGACGCTCTTCGTCGGAATCTAATATGGGATAAAATTACATTTACACCCCCCCGAGTTTTCTAATAATTAGCTGATTTTTGTCCGTACTGACCAAAACGGACACCGTTGTCGGGAGGAAAGGCTGTGTCTACCGATCTACGAATGAGCCCCGTAAAATTAGGCCCCGTTTGGTGTGTCATTTCGTGCGGGCTGTCGGCACTGCCCTGAAAAGATGTGGTAAGCTCATCTCGAGTTATTTTGGGGAAGTTTCAAGTGGAGTTTTTTGTCCTTTTTTCAATTTGTCTCTCCGGTGGCACCCAGGCTGCTTGGCTTCTTAATGGTTTTCTCATTGACGCTGCCTTCACTCTCCTCCTCGGAGTCAGGGTCCTCCTCAGATTGAAGTACCATCTCCGTGGTGACCCCAACAGTGGTGACAACTCCAAGGTCGAGCTGAGGGAAAGCATGCCTGACCAACCAGAAGCAGAACTTGAAGCCCTTTTGGAAGGCCAATGTAGTGACGTCATGGCAAAATTTATTGAACTCCGGAGAATCCTTATAAAACTAAACTACCAGGACCTTGTTATCCTTGATACCTTGAATCAGAGTCTCCTCGCGATAAGCAAAATCTTTCTAGGCCTCCTCATGCTGCTTCTTTGCCTCCTCGGCCACACTCTCCAGCTTATCTATGCGCCTTTTCTCCACCGCCATGTTGTCATCGAGCTTCTTGACCTAACCGATTGCCTTCACAAGCTTACTCTCAACAACCAACGCCTTGGCATCGGAGGCGGCTACCTTAGCCTCAGCAACATATACGCTAGCAAAATGCAACTCAGACTGCTTGAGGAATGAATGAATCATAGAGTTTATCTGCGGGGAGAAAAAAATGATACGTTTAGAAGGGAAAGCAGAATACAAGTATAAGTGCAGCATGGGGGTCGGGAGAAACATACCACCATGAGATAACCTAAGGCTTTCGTGGCAAGCTAGTGACATAATAGTTCAGCATGCTTCAGGACTTCCTCAGGGAAGATGACCTCCTTGCTCCTAGCAACGGCCACCCGGGCATTGAAGACACTTTGGCTCTCCTTGGAGTTTGGTGGGGAAGTACCGACCTCGAGATGACTAGGCCAAGGCTCGGGTGTCCTGGCCTCCTCGAGCTTGTGAGGCATGGATTTTTCTCCCTAGTCCTCTTCGACTAGGTCGACAACAAGGATCCCTTCCTTGACTGGAGCAACAAGAACAGTGAGCTTGGCCACCACCTCCTGAAGGACATCATGAGCTGTCTTCCTCTTCTTCCTCCTCTTTATGTTAGTGAATAGTCTGATAATTGGAACGTCCGTCATGATACCTATGACAAACGAGTAGAAAGTTAGCTGAAGTGATGAAAAAGGAAAGTATGTGTATGTACCGAGGTGGTGACCTACCCGGAGGACTCAGCCTAGGCTTGACAATTTCCTCCTCGATAAAAAAATCCTCCAACTATAGACTAAGCTTCACCAAGGAGTGGATTTCTTTCTTCAACTTCCTATCAAGCTTATTCTCAAGGTCACTAATACCCATCCTCCAGTGTGTCGGGAAAGGCCACCCCAAGCGATGGTAATGGTGAAATATCTCCTCTTCCAGGATGGGACCTTGTTAAGATAATCATGCAAGATCTTGGTGTCATATATCAAACTAAAGATGTCTAAGTATAAGGGCATGTTGTAGTCATGAAAAAGGGAGGTGGTCCTGATAATTTTGCGAACTAAGTTAGGATGAAGCTGGTCTACAATGATGTCAAAAAACTTGATGACCTCGATGATGAAGGAATGAAGTGGGAAGCATAGCCTAACGACTAGTTGCTTTTCGAAGACCGTAATCTCGTCGTAATCATGATCCCAAGGAAATCCTTCCAAAGGAATGCTATAACCATGGTCATTAGGGATTTTAAAGTGGGCAGCTAGTGCATTGACCCTCTCCACCATCATGGTAGAAAGACCCAAATGATCTAGCCCCCGAGCAGGAAGAGCGCAGTGGGAGGTAGAAGCCTTCTTTCCAGAAGCCTTATGCTCTAGTGCCAAGGCATCCACTTCGGATGGGCTGGACTCCGAGCTGGGTGTTGACATGGCCATCTCAGCTAGACTGGACTCTATGTTCTGGATCGAGGTGCTGTTATGGACACACCGCTCGGCAGTGCACTGCAGCGCAGTCATAGGCAGCAACACGCACCGCCCGGTAGCATGCAGCACACAGCACGCACCGCCCGGCAGCACGTGGCACGCACCGCACGACAGCAGCACTAGGCAGGAGCACACACCGCACGGCAGCAGCACTAGATAGCAGCACGCACCGCACGATAGCAGCACGCACCGCACGGCAGCAGCACTAGGCAGTAGCATTCACCGCACGGCAGCAGCACTATATAGCAGCACGCACCGCACGGCAGCAGCACTAGGCAGTAGCACGCACCGCACGGTAGCAGCACGCACCTCACGGCAGCAGCACTGTGAGACACGCGCACCACCCGGCTGCAGCAGTAGGGCGGAGCCCACATGACAGCTCATCAGGGTGGGCCCACACTCATCTCACCACATCAGCTTGGCCCGCCAACTCGCCGCCAGCTTCACCATCCCTTATCCCTTATCCTTATCTTATCTTATCTTCTTAAGTAAGAGTTATGTTACCATTAGGAGTAGGTAATTAGGAGTTTGAGTTTGAGTTGGATTACCCTAGCCTAGCCAAATCCAACAAGGAATTTCCTTTTCTAATCTCCTATTTAAGGAGCTACGAGTTGAAGTAAAGGATTTAGTTTTCCAGTCAATAAAAGAGTGATGAGAGTTTGGGTGGTTTCTTGGACAAATCACCCATTCGGAGAGTTCGGGTGGTCTCTTTGACAAATCACCCATTCGGTTTCCGCAATAGGTTCTGCACGCAAGGGAAGGCGCAAGAGAAAGCATGGCTTTCTCCCCGTTGACCGACCTGTGACAAGATCCTACGCGCGGGCCCATAACATTCTGGTATCAGAGCCATACGTCATGGGCGATATGGAGCAGCTATCATCCAAGGTCCATGAACTGGAACATAGTCTAGCAGAAACCAGCATGGAGGTTCGTGAAGTTAAGGAAGATGTCCGGGAGCTGTGACGCCTACTGGAAGCATTCCTCTCCAACAAAGAAAGAAGTTCTGAGGAAATCGCCAACACAAACAGTCGCCGTCCGGACTGGGCAGAGGCATCCAGCAAACAGCAGATCGCTGCCCCGACACCCGTAGTTATTCCCAAGTATAGCTGTTTGGAGTTTTCCTCATACAACAGCAGCGGCGACCCACTGGGAGGGTTGTACCGCTGCGAGCAATTCTTTCGTAATCTGCACACGGAGGATGAAACTGTAAAGTCTCCTCCTTTGGCCGGGGATGGTAACTATGCAGAAGCCCAAGAAACAGGAGTGCACGAGAGATATAAGGTGGATGGGCCGGATATGGAGGTAACTTTCTTTCAAGCTTATATTGATGGCATGGATTTTGTGTTCATAAACAGCCCTATGTTCCGTAATATTGAGAAAAATATATACGGGGGAGGCCGAGGGGATATTTTAAAATGCATGGTTCGCTTCTGTAAGGCTGCTCTTGAGGTTCTCTTTTGTAAGTATACCCGGTGCGTTCCTGTGATCCACAACATAGCACACCGGGATCGTGGTCCAGTACGCGATTTTCGTTATGTGGATCTTCCACAAAACTACTTCAAACTACATGACCTAGGAGGTGGGGAACACTTCAATGTCCTTGCAGCTGGCCTGAAAGCAGCAGATCGTGTAGTCACTGTAAGCCATGGTTATGCCTGGGAGCTGAAAACTAAAGAAGGTGGCTGGGGTCTGCATCAAATAATAAATGAGTGATGCAAACGAAGCTGAAGGGCACCGTGAATGGGATTGATGCAAACGAAGGGAACCCACAGTTAGATGTTTACCTGGCATCGGATGGCTACACCAATTACTCTGTGGAGACTCTTCAGACTGGCAAGCCTCAATGCAAAGCAGCTCTACAAAGGGAGCTTGGTCTTCCTCTTCAGGAGAATGTTCCTCTGATTGGGTTCATTGGCAGGCTTGACCATCAGAAAGGTGTTGACCTCGTTGCTGAGTCCATTCCTTGGATGGTGGACCAGGATGTCCAACTAGTCATGTTGGGCACTGGGAGACCTGACCGAGAACAGCTTCTCAAACATTTTGAGAGTCAACACCATGACAAAGTCAGGGGTTGGGTTGGTTTCTCTATGAAAATAGCTCGTCGAATAACTACTGGTGCAGACATCCTACTCACGCCTTCTAGATTTGAGAGCCATGTGGACTGAACCAGCTTTATGCACTGAGCTACGGGACAGTCCCTGTTGTTCACGCTGTTGGTGGACTGAGAGATAGTGTGCAGCCATCTGATCCATTGGCAGAATTCCAAGCCACGTATTCGGAATTCAAGCTTGAGGACAAGCTCGTTGTCCAGGAGGGGTGTGATGTTATGGACACACTGCCCGGTAGCGCACTACGGCGCAGTCATAGGCAGCAACACACACAGTAGGCTGCATAGTAGCACGCACCGCCAGGTAGCACCGCACAGCAGCACGCACCGCCCGGTAGCGTGCAGCACGCACCGCCGGGCAGCATGCAACACGCACCGCCTGGCAGCGCACGGCACACACCGCATGGCAGCAGCACTAGGCAGCAGCACGCACCGCACGGCAACAGCACTAGACAGTAGCATGCACCTCACAGCAGCAGCACTACGAGACGCGCGCACCGCCCGGCAGCAGCAGTAGGGCGGGGCCCACATGACAGCTCATCAGGGTGGGCCCACACTCATCTTACCACATCAGCTCGGCCTGGCAACTCGCTGCCAGCTTCCCAATCCCTTATCCCTTATCCTTATCTTATCTTAGTGATGTGTGGTTCATTGTGACACTAGCAGGGGCATTAGCCGTTCAAGTAATAAAGTAGTGAGTGAAGTATCGTTCCCACGAAGATTTAGGAAA